TGTCATTCACGTTTCGGCGTGACCGAATCGAGGTGGGCAGTTTTAACTCATACCGGTGGTCGTTGTCAGCGCGCAATCCTGCAGATCGACGTAATAAGAACGGTTATCGCCTACTGGTAAAACATCGGTTACATTTAAGCCCACGTTATATATCAATAGAAAGCGCTGAGTGAACAAAATACAGAGAATTTGCCTAAATTGTGAATTTCAAAGATTTTTTCCAAAATTGCTATCATTGCTGTCGGATTGTCATCTTCTCGTATATTTGAATGACGGAATGCTTAAGTTGTGTTCATGTTCAAAAATTTCACAATGAATGACTGCCTTAAAATATAAATTCAACAGTATTTGCCTCTGCTGTTCATAAGTGTCATTATTTATTATTTATTACCAAAAACGTCATACACAGTCGATATTTTCAATTTTCAGCAGTCAAAGTCAAGCAAGTTTAGTCAAAAAATTGATGCAGATTAATGAAGCGTCTTCGGGAAGGAGGCACTGGGAAAAACAAATGATTCATCACAAGTCATGGTCTCATTCACGGAATTTAACAGAGGTTCCATATCATGTTAGGCAGCATATTTCAGGCGACGAAAGATTCCAAAGAAGATCAGAAGCTTTTCTGAGAGCAGATTAAAAGTGCCGTTCAGGTACATTGCTGAGGATTACATATGAGGCACCCCCTCTGTCACATTCTTTTGGAGATGAAATTTGGTCGATTTTTGTGATTATTATGCCATATCAACGTCAGCGTCCGGCATCCTTTAACAGCTGCTTGTAACTGCGTTCAGCAAACGACAGGTTAGGATTCAGCTGCCTGGCTTTCATGTACATCTCCTTCGCCAGCTTGTACTTTTTCCACCGATGGTATAAAACCCCTGTAAGACGAAGACATTTAGAAAAACAGCAGTTACGACCGTAAGTCTGACCTAGATTTGCGAAGTAGTGTGCGTTGAATCGATCCAAATTGATGGCGGCCAGAAAATGCGACTCGGATTCGTCGTAGTGTCCCAACTTGCCAAGACAATTGGCCAC